TGTGAGCTGGCTCCGGGCTCTCAGCGCTGCTGTAAGCTGCGGGCAGCGCTCTGACCTCCTTTCTGCCATCAGCCGTCTGCTCTGGAGAGCTGCTGGGCAGCAGCAGGCGGTTGGGGGCAGGCGGCTGCTCTCCGGGGTGCAGGGCCCCCCAAATCCCCACTTCTGCAGCAGCCAAGTTGGAAGAAACGGCGGGTTTTAAATCCAGCTCCCTCTCCTGCGTTTTGTTGGGTTTAGCTTTTTGGGGTGCAGAGCTGATGTGTTCCTCCCTGAGTTTTAGGAAGGAACGGTTTGGCGTAGAGCAGGATGCTGGGTGACACAAAATGTCTAAGTCGGCACAGTAACATGGCTGTCTGTCCCAGGTAACTATAAGGCATAGGACATGTGAAAACCACCAGGGCTCTTATTTATTATTTTTTTTTCTTTTAAATATAGTTTTTTCAGTGAAAAGATGGACAGGGAGAGGAAGGCAGTGGATGCAGAAAATGAAAGCCTGGTTGAACTGCCCACTCTTGCGTTTTTTTAGGAAAAGCTCTGTAAACATGGGAAAATTAATGGGGAAAAATGTGTGGTTTACTCTTTATTTCCAATTGTATTTCTCAGATTACCTCTTCAGGTTCTGTCTCATCTCTTCATTCACACTGGAACTTTACATCTGTAGAACAAAGAAACTACCTTTTTTCCTGTAAATGAAGAACTGGCAGGTGTTTATCAGGCTGCGCAACGTGCAACAGTCGCGTTTTAATACAAACATCAAACTCGCCTGGTTTTTTTCATGTGGCACGTTACAAGTATGAGAGAAGAAAATGAGAAGAAATGTCTTGTTTCTGATTAAATCCGCTACTGATATGCTCTGTGATCCATGGAATGCAATAGTGGCGGAAAGCAAAAAGCAAGATAAGGGTTTCTGAGAACGATTTCATCTTGGAGCTCTTCCTGCATCACTTGCTTAATGTGGCTCCTGAAGGCCACACAGAGGAGACACACGTGAAAATGGACAGGAGTGTTTAGGAAGAGACCTTTCTGTGTGGTTATTTGGCTCAGATTACCTGATACGGGATGAGAAGCTGTGCTGTCCAATGTTCTTCCTGTAAGATGTGGGGGGTTGACCCTATCTGTGCTTAATATGCTTTCAGTGTATTCTGCAGGGGAAAACCTTTCATAGTTCAGAAGTCTGAGTTTGTAAAAAGTTTCTGAGAGTTCTGATGGACTAAGCCTTAATAATATATTTACTTACCCAAGGTAACTGTCTTTTGCATCAACTGCAGCCTTCCCCCTCTGGTGTCTTAACTTTGTTGTTATGCTGTGATAATTGGGAACCTGAAGGTAGAAAACAGTGTTCCCATTCTAGATGTTTTTCTTTAAATTAGCTTAAAAAAGAGATCTAGGAAATAGGTTTAGAATGAAACTGGAGATATCCTGGAAGGGAAGATATTAATGGCATTGAAGAAGATGATGAGATGCCTTATTGACAATGACTGGGCTACACCTGAGCCATCCCATCTGGCAGAAATTTTCCAAATTTCTCCAGGTACATGGTAGGATTTTTCTCTGAGTCAGCTATTTTGAGTTCACGACTTGCTGGTTATTTGTCCCAGTGCCTCTTCTAAAATCTGATGGGGGAAACCCTGCTCTTAGTTATTTTACAACTTTGTTGACAGTTTGTGCTGTAACAGCTATGATATGGTTGGGTTTGTGCCAAGCTGGGAAGTTCTGAGTGGAAACTTGTAGCCTTCTGTTTATAAAAGCCTGGGTTTCTCTCTCTCTCTCTCACACACACACGCACACACACACATGCTCTTCTTCTACGGGAGGAAGGATTTTCTGCGATTCATAAAAAATCATAAGCTTTGAAACCTGACGGCATTGATGGATAAAATATCAGGAGTCAAAAGAAAAAGGAATCGCAGGAGAAGACTGAGCCCAAATATCCATGGGGGACTCCTCAGCTGTGACTGCAGCACATGGTGCCATGTTCCTCTTGTCCTTAATGTTCATTCCCTGACAAATCCATTCCTAGACACTTGAAAGAAAAGTGACCTTTCAAAACTGAAAGTGAGAATTGCCAATTCTATGCATTTCTTCAGTGCAGACAATTTACCCGAAAATTTCTATCCTTATTTATCTCTCAGTCTGTTGTGCCTATTCTGTGATACGCTGCATGTTAACATTTCCTAATGCAGAACTAAAGAAAAGCAGTAGGGCTTTTCTCTCCTCTGTTTTTTCAGTGAAAATGATACTGAGCACTGTTTGGTTATGAAGTCAGCCTCTTAGTGAAATATGGTATTATTTAATCGTCATTATGTTTAGTATATAAATGGACTGTTTTTATTGGACAGTGCATATGTATAAACAGATAAAATTATACACGCAGCCCCATGCATATTTCATCTGGGAGATTCCCATGCCTGCAGCTTACTGAGAGCAAGCTGATTTTTCACTTCTCAAGAGTTGCTTTCCAAGTGCAGAGTGATCCAAGGATCTAAACAGCTTTATGGAGAATATAAGAAAATAGTCAGTGATCTCGGTCCCATTAGGAGTGCGCAGGTATCTGCATCATAGCAAACACGGGTGTATTTGTTTCCAAACCTCGTCTAGAATGGAGCAAAAAGATTTGATTTCTGTTTCCCACTGCCAGAAAGGAAAGCACTATGGAAATTTTGCATTTAAAAAGACAAAGGGTGTCCTGTCTGGGGTTTTTAATGTGCTCTTCGCTGTGCGGAAAGACATTTCATACATAGTCTTCAAATACCCAGGTAAAAGTAAATTCCATTCGTCATGCAGTATTTCTCATGAGAAAGCATGCTGTCTCTTCCCTCTCCTGCTCCAGTCCCCCTGGAAATTACAGTAGGAAGCCAGGTTAAAATCTTGCAAATGTGGGAAAACCCGTGCTTGGTACTTTGTAAGGAGTTAATGGCTCTTGATTTTTCAAAATATAAAACTCATTTTGCTTTTCAGCAAAATGCTGTAGTGTCTGTTTGGAAAAAGGAACAATTGTGTTCCTAAAATGATGTCTCCCAAATTGAATATTTCATGTATCCTTTTTCCCAGCTCCTGGTATTTCTGGGTGGTTTTTGTTGTTGCTGTTTTAACAAGTGTTTGGTGTATTTTTTTTAAGAGTTAGGTTTGGAAGCTGAGATCTGGGGTTGCTGGGTTTATTACAGATGCCTGCAGTGACAGCCCCTAGCGTGTGTGAGTGTGTCTGTGTGTGTGTTTGTGTGTGTTTGTGTGTGTGTGTGTGTGTCTGTGTGTGCATATTTTTAAATAAAAAGGAAAGCAGAGGTTTGCTCATTTGTTTGCCCATTGTGAAGCTGTCCTGCACCTTTCTGCTCCTTTGTGCGGGGGTGAAGGCTGCTGAATGGAGGCCTTGTGCCATTTGTTGATTTTAAACCTCGCTGTTAATCCACAGGAACCTGCTGGTGTGCGCAGCAGGAGAGCTGTGTGACAAGTGGAAATCTGGGCGGGGGGGAGCGCGGGGGGTCACAGGGGATAATAATCATTCAGCCATCAGCCTTTGTCACCCTTAAGCCTAATTGTTACCCTCTGCTGGTAACCGCATTGAAGTGCTGGCCTTTTAAGTGTTTCTTGATTTTACTTGGCACAGGCTTACGGATAGCACCGTTTTATTGCCGGGTTTGCATCGCATCAAGTTTGCCGGGGTTTGTTTTATCAGCCCCGCTGAATTTGCTGTGTCCCTTAAAATAATTCGGGAGAGCCCAAAGTGATGGAAGGGGCTGAATGGAAACAGTATGGTCCTTGACAAATATCCCCCTGTCAGGAGCAGGGCTAAAAGCAGAGGCAGAAAGCTTTCCTCCCTGAAAAGCCAGCTCTCTCCTGGAGCCTGTGTGCGAGCAGTGAGCGTGGGTACGGGCACCTGACTGTCAGAAAATGCCCTTTATAAGCAGAGCAAGGTGATGCTCAGGCTGCGGCAGGGTGCTAGGAGCACCCGTGTGCTTTCAGGTACCCGTCAGAACCGAAAGTGTGAGGGTAGCTGAAGCAAATTGAACCGGTAGTAAACTCTGGAGGGAGAGGAGAATTAAACCATTTGGAAACGACAAAGAAAAAGCTTGAAGGTGGGATATCTTTTCTAGCAGTTGGGAACTGGTTCTCCAACTTTCCCTGCCAGTTCCACATGCTAGAGTCAGTATTGCACCTTCTGCTGTTGTCCTTGAAGAAGTTAGAGTAGAAGCTGCTGTAGTAGCTAAGACAAAGCCTGAATCTAAGGCTTTGCAATGGACAGGTATCTCTGTATGTTAAGTAAGGCTGTGTTGTGGGATGGGAGATGGCAGGGGGGAGGTTTCCATTGCTCCCCCCACCTCTGTGTGATGGGTGTTGTGTTAGGCTGTTACCTAAGACTGCTTGGGCTTGCGAAGGGAGCGAAACGGGGATTTTCCTCTTGTGGTTGCCAGTACAGGCTTTGGAGCTACTTTTCATGAAACGCACTTTCCTTCTAACCTGTCATATACAATGTGCTTCCAGCAAATGCAGCGAATGCATTGCGTGCTACCACCTGATAGCTGGTGTTGGGAAGTCGTGCCAGTAGTAGTGATGGTAAATCCAGGGTTGTTACGTGAGTCTGATTACACAGCCTGATTACAACCTTACTTTCAAGTCAGTCTTCCACCTGGCTCAGTACTTCATCAAAAGGCTTGAGAATACGTCTTGGAGTAGGTCAGTGTTTTGACCACTTTGTACTTGCTACTCTTCTACAGTAAAAGGGGGTTGCTTATTTGGCAGGTTTGTTTTCGTGTGTTTCCTCATGGTGTGAGTCCCTGCTGCTTGTCAGCACGCCACTCTGCTCCTTGGATTTCAATATGAACAGCACAGGTCAGAGTGATACCTGTGCAGGCTTCGTACTTCCATCAAGAAGGTTTAACTAGTAAAACTTCTGATAAAAAAAAAACCCATCAGCACCCAGCTGTTGTATTTTCACCCTTCTGTGGTGCAGATTTAATTGTAATTACTGAGTCAGGCTAATAACTCTGTTCCAACTGTTGTTGCAGGACATGTCTCAGGAAGGCTATGGAACCAGATCTCAACCCCCTATGGCCCCAGGAAAGCCGAACCATGAAGACTTGAATCTAATCCAGCAAGAAAGACCATCGAGCTTACCAGTAAGAAACTAATGTTTGTTTTGGTATTTTGAAATTAAAGCCCTTTATGTAGGATTTCAATGCATCAAGGATGAGTGAATGAGAAATACTGAAAGAAGAAATATTAAACGAGGTTGATCACAAACCAGTTTTAAAAAAATACGGTGAGAACAAACAGCTTGTATATGAGTGGACTTAGCTTAGGCTTGTTCTGGTTCAAAAGAGCGCTACTTACGCACATGCTTGTGCACATGTGTATTTGCATAGAGGAAATGGTTTGATTTTTTAGCTTTAGGAGTTCCGTACTTGCACAAAACAATCTGGTGAGGAAGAGGCTTTTTCTGTGCCCTTTTCAAAGGATTTCAGTGGATTCTGGTTTACAATGCTGCTGCCAGGAGTTACTTGCTCCAAATCTGAAGCATCAGTAATGAATTTGGCGTGTTAATTCTGCTGCTGTCTACTACTGCACAAGTGTAGAAGTGGGAATTATGGTGATAATTGGGCTAGGCTGATCTTTTGGTTAGGAAATGATTTTGGACTAACAATTCTTAGTTTTTCTGAGCTCTATGCATTCTGCTGTGAGGGAAACAGCACAGATTAATATATTTTGCAAAGACACAGCAGCTACTCTTTTGAAGTTTCATTTCACCATAATGGGCAAAGTACTCCTTGGTCTTGTCTCTGTGTGCCCCCATTGGTCTGGGGATTTTCTTGTTTGGTGGTGGTAACACAGCATGAGTTTAAACCAACTGGAATATGTTCAGCTTAAATGATGAAAACTGTTTGTACACTATGTGGCCTCTGGCTTGGAGTAATGTATCATAAACATAGAGGATATTTCCTGCAGTTCACTGGGTGTGCATTCACTTCCAGTGAGCAGAGGGATCTATCTGAAGAGTTCATCTTACCGAGTCACCACATGTATCTGTGAAATCTGGTAGTACGGTGTCTGTTTTACCTCTGGCACATGGTGCTATTGTCAACCCCTAAAAACAGGGCAGTAAACATCTTCATAGCATTTTAAAGTTGTATCTTCGGCACCTAGAAGAGTATATGTGCCACAAACTCTTTGCATGACATCGGAAATGTGCGTGTCTCAGGAAAAACTATGGAAACTGGTGTGAGCAGAGTTATCCATTTGCTTTGAACTGGTATTAATTTGACAGTTTTTTGGGAAATTTTTTTTTTTTAAAGACTTAATTTCTCTGAACAGGTCTCAAAAATGAATGCTGGCAGTTAACTTAAAAATAGTAACTACCGTGGACATTGAACTGTTTTGGCAACAACCACCTACTTTAAAAAGCAGTAATATTAAAAGGGATGCTTTAACAGTTTTTCATGAGCAGTGCTTATTAGGGTAGAGAGAAGTAGAATTTTTTATCAACCAATGTTCTACTAATTTGCCTGTGGTTTTTCTTAAACATTCGTCCTACTTTTAATCCATGTCATAACTCCATGATCATGATATCTAAGCAGAGTATTGGGTATTATCTATGTCCCTTAGTGTTTGGTATATTTAGTAGCTCATTATTATTCTAGCTATGAGTAAGCTGGTAGTATTAACAATGAATGTTAACCATTTTGGACACATAGCTTAAACTCTAAGTTGGTCCCAAATGCTGTTATTGAGACACTTCATTGCTGAAAAGGTTTGGTACATAATAAAAGAGCATTTCATATACTCAAAAACCTTGCTGTTTGGATATGGAGGGGAATGCGAGGTATCATCGTTTGGCGTCTTGGTTTGGTTTGGGTTTGTTTTGGTTTGGTTTTGTTCCCTTGGTTTTTTGTTTTGTTTTTAAATTCAAAAACAACGGCAACCCTTCCTATGTGGTGACAATACTTTTTTTGGTAGCGTGAGCAAACTCCCCATCATCATACTTCCAAGAAAAATGTCTTAGAAATTAGAAACAATCCATACGTTCAAAGTGCATTGTACATGATAAATGTACTTTAATGTAACTCTATTTGGGGTATGGATGACTTGACCATATAAACATGGGTTGTGTGTTTTTTGGTGTTACGGGGTTTTTTTCCCCTGGAGCAAGACAGTTCTGTATTCAGTTTTGGACTGCTTATGAAAACCTGTGATCACTATCCCTTGCTTAATATTCCTAGTTATAGAGTCATTTTGGGGATGCTAAATACGGCTCCTTAAGCTTGTTTCAAGATAATGCTGTTCTTGAGGGCAGTCAGTTAAGTCTTCTTTGTACAGTGAAGCTTGAAATGATAGCAGCAGTGTTACGCTTTTAATAAAATTTGGTTGTGTTTTGTTTCATGGTATTCTGGTATTTATACAGTTTGCCCGTTATCTTTTTATTTCTTAAGGGCACTGTGTAAAATCACAGCAGCTACATAGCAAGCTTATGCAAGTGTCTGAAAAACAACAAAAGAGATGTAATGCTCAATGGTGAATGGTGTTCTCTGATGTGGCTTTGAAAAAAAGAGCTTCCCTTTGATGGGTTTGAAGAGGAGCTGGCCACTTTCTGCAGCACTGAATGCTGGCCTGTGTCATCCTTTGGGGGAGATTTTTCGGCAGGTTTGTGTCACAGTAAGCGCAGCTCAGCAGCTCAATGGTTGTTCCGTTTCCTTCACACGTTGTATATAAAAGTCCTGGCATGAATGTTCCCATAAAGTTCAAAGCGGACAAATTTGTAATGTGGATTGGTAACAAATGGCTGCAACCCAAATATGGCTTTATTAGCTACTTCTAATGGCCTGACAGATCCCATACAATGATTGCTTTCCTTCTCAAACTGCTCTGGGCTCTGGAGGGTCTGACCTGTGGGTCTCTGACCATGTGGAGTCACTGGGAGCCTAAATGAAAAGTCGCACAGAATAACGCTCCGAGCACTTTTGTTGGGGTCACAATTAGAAGGAAATCTCAAGCTTTTGAGAAAACAGGGGAGTTTTAGGTGCTCTGTGAAGGAAAGGAAGTCATAAACAAACTGTTCTCTATTAGAGTGGAGGAATAAAGGGGCAGAGGCCTGAATGAAATTGTCTGGAGAACAGCTACTACAGAATATATTTATCGAGACTTAAAGGATAATAGCAAAATACACATTACTGCTATTGTGTGAAAGCTAGAGCAGACTTACAGGAAAAAGCTTCCAAGTGATATATCTGCAAATTTGTTGCTGCAGTAAAGGAGCTTGTGTCAGCAGTAGGCTGTGTGTGTCTATGAAGACTAATCCTTTACTTTGTCTTTAATGAGTAATTTTGTAAATGTTCACGTTGGAGTACGTTGAAAGAAGAGCAGAAAACATACATGAATTTATTTTTTTTTTTGCTGGCATGAGTATGAAAGTCACTTCAGATAGGCATTGGTGGTTTTGCTACTACTTTTTGTTTTAATAAGGTTCTTTTTCTGCCCAGTGTCAGGTATGCTTGTTAGAGCTGTGAGGTCAAATGGCCTACCCAAGGTTGCCATGCTTTTGAAACATGGGTTTCTCCTAATTATTTTTCTTGTTGGAACCTATAGGTAAAGCTCTGTGGCTGCTCGAGCCTAAGCCAGGGCAGTGGCAGCGCTGCCGTGTGCCTCAGAGTGTGCCGGCTGTGCCATCCCATCTCCTCTGCTGGCACTCCTGGGACTGGCCGTTTGACCTGGGGAACCGAACCAGCTGAGAAATAATCACTCTCTTTATTTCTGGGTTGGTTTTTGACTGAATCACTGTGTAATTGTGTGGGCATCAGTAGTACCTCAGAAGAGGAGATGGAAATTGGAAGCCATGATGGGAAAAGGGACAGTGGAGACTGCAACAGCTTTGATTTTAGCCACATCCTAAAAGGCTGTATGATCTTGTTAGAAGGGTTTGAGATGTTGTCATTCTGTCAGCTGAGACAGGGTGGCACAGCAGATCCCAAGCGGGCCGTGCAGCAGCCACAGAGCCCCAGACAGGCAGAAGACGGTTCTCTCCTTTTTGTAAGGTAAGTTTTCTGCCGCTTTACATCCCTGAGCTGTTTAACACAGACAGTGAGTACGGGCCCAGAAGTGTGAGCGTGCACAGCTGGAGGCCGCAGGGAAGGTGGACTTGTGGCGTCCCTCAGCTACCTTGGCATAAACTGTAGTGAAATGGGGGCCTTAGACTTCTAACTTAGCTCAGGTTCGTCTTGTGTTCACTGGAGGTTGTGCAGTGCTGAAGGGGGAAGGCTGTATGTGGAGTGGAGGGAACCAGTGCTTTACTGGGCCACTTGCAATCTTGAGTTCATGGATTAATTCTACGACACCACTCATTCACTGGGTCTTTTCATGGAGGAAGCGCAATTTCCGTGCAAAACAAAATAGTCACCAGCAAGGGAGGTAGAACCCCGCTTGTATCTTGTGTAATGCCAAACCTGAGAAGTTTGGTTGTGGTTCTGCAACGTCTGTAGTTGTACGAGCTGCAGTGTAAGGTAGGTCTCAAATAAGGTGTAGTGTTGCTTGGACAGATCAGCTTTTTAAGATGCCAGTTGCCTTGCTTCCTTATGCTTTGTGCTGTGGAAAACAGTACATCAGCAATCCCTTCCTGATTTTATGAACTGTTTCACAGCTCTGTTTTACCTCATTCTAATGAGCCTCTAAAGGATGTTTTGAGTGCTGGACAGTCATTCCTGTGGTCGACACACCTTTTTCATTGTAGAAGGAAGGTACTAAATTAGATTTCAGAGGACCTCTGTTGAGAACTAGTAGTGAACTAAATACAAGACTGGATGTACTCGGCTGATGGAACATCATCATTGCAGATGTGTCTTGATAGGTACAGGCTGTGAGGAAAATACGTGGGACGGTTTGGGAATCCATACTCCCTGTCTCACTTGGAGAATGTGAAGTAGCTTGGAAAGTCATCTCGAACAACAGCAGCGCTCCCTGAACAAATGCCTTTAATGGCTGAAGTCTTAATAGAGCAGGAAAAGTTTCCAGCATTATTGGAGAAACTGAGTTAGTAGGAGATACCTCCCCTTTTCTCCAAGGTTAAACTACTGGGACGAGAGACTGTGGTGACATTTATACAGAGCTTAGTCCAGTAAGCCCTAATCATCACC